CGTCTGGAATGCGGGAGCCGGATGGAGGTGGCTGCTGGTTGCACAAAGTTCCACTTCTCCCCCGACCTCGCTTCTTGGCCATGCAAAACTAGACATTTCACAAAACAGGCGCATCCGATTCCCCGACTGGAGCTCTGCATGCAAGAACTGGCGACAGGATTCTGCCCACGGATCCCCCGACAGCAGCAAGAAATGGTTGCTGAACTTTCTTTATAGTGGCCTGGACAAAGCTGAGTTTCAAACGGAAAATGCAGGCAAATTTTGTTTAGTCTATATTTTAAAGCAAACTGCCCTCCTGCAACACACGAAGGTTGGAACACAACCTTTTGCTTAGATTTCACATTCCTTGCTTTATTTAAAAATTGCAGCATGGTGTGGAAACGGGAATACGTAATAATAGATTTATGATTGAAGCCATGTCAGACGGGTTCAAATATAGGATGGTCCATCTTTGAGTCTCACTAGATTTCATATAAATCCAGTACCTAGAAAGAGTGCTCCTTCAAGTGGTGAAAAAGGTGTGATTGTGGAAACATGTGAGAAACACCGCACACTGATGTAGAGAAAACATTGTACAGAGAAGGAATGACAGTTCTCTGAAAGTGCAGACAGGGTTAAAAGTTGGGGGGGGGGATCGGTTTATATTTCTTTACTTCCTGGGTTAATATTCTTATTCATCATCGTTTTCCCCAGTTGCTTCATAGATAAAGGGGAATAAAAGCAAAGTTGTTTCATATGATCTGTCATGCTCAGTCGGTGACAAAGTTTAATGGGATTTCAGTAGCTCACACTCTGCAAACTCTCTCTCATGTACACACATAGAAGCTCATTTTTTCCACTGTTCAAGCGGCAGGAGCAGTGAAGCCCTCTTCGCCCTCGCGGCTTCATCTTTGGCCCGAAACAGACCACTGGGAAATCTTCCCGACATTTCTCGGAGATCGCCGCGAGCCAGAGCCTGCAGCCATACTTCAGCCGGTTGCATCAAAAGTCTTGATCAGCAATGCCCTCATGTACACACATAGAAGCTCATTTTTTCCACTGTTCAAGCGGCAGGAGCAGTGAAGCCCTCTTCGCCCTCGCGGCTTCATCTTTGGCCCGAAACAGACCACTGGGAAATCTTCCCGACATTTCTCGGAGATCGCCGCGAGCCAGAGCCTGCAGCCATACTTCAGCCGGTTGCATCAAAAGTCTTGATCAGCAATGCCACGGAATAGCCATCATAAAAGAGGGGAAAATGCCCTTGTTTATATAATACGATTTGTTGACCAGGTTTTATGAAAGAGCTGGAAAATTCCTGCTTGAACATCAGGTGTCACCGACAGCAAACCGAGGCAGGGCGGCCGACAGTCAATCAAGTAATTTTAGACTCTGGACTTCAGAACCCATTGGGAATTTAACTTTCACTATACAGCAACGAAGATAACTTCGTTTCATTTCAAATGCGATCAGGAAACTATGTTGGAAAAAGTCCCTCTTTTTTTTCTTTCCGGACTACAACCCCTGAAGGGAGATATGATAGCACTTTTCAAATACTTGAAAGTTAGTCATCCATCGTCATCATTTTAGAACTGCCCTCAAGTTCCAGGAAGCCAGATTTAGGATGAGCATCAGAAAAAACTTCTTAACTGTTAGAGCAGTACGACAACAGGACTCATGACCTCAGGAAGTGGTGAGGGCTGCAACGCTGGAGGCATTCAAGAGAAAATTGCTTTGACTTGGATCCCTGCCTGGAGCAGGGGGGTGGACTTGATGACCTTAGAGGCCCCTTCCAACTCCATGATACTAGGATTCTAGAATCCTCCAGCTATCATCGGTGGCATTTATTTCACAGTTATTTCTGTTTCCATTCTTGTTAGGCGCTGCCAAATTGCCTCTGACTTACAGCAACCCTACGGATGATGACCAGCTTCCAAAATGTCCTGTTCTCAAGGCAAGGCTGTGGCTTCCTCTGTGAATCCAATCCATCTCATGTTGGGTCTTCCTCTCCTCCAGCTGCCTACAACTTTGCCTAGCGTTATTGTCTTCTCCAGCAGTTTCCATATCAGAAGAATGTCCTGTTCAGATCCCCCCCCCCAAAAAAAATTTGGTAATGCTTATTCAGCTAATAACGCAGGGCATGCACCAAGAGGAAAGACAGAGCTTGAAAATGTCGGGCCAAGAATTACCAGCCAGCAGGACTGTTTCCTTGTTTACACAATGATCGCTCATCCCAATTCCTCTTATGTTTCATTTCTTAGAGTGTTAATATTACTGGCTGCCTGAAACCTACCGCCATTGGAAAAGCCCATTGTTGGACTGGCCTCACCCCTCCAGAAGTACGTCAAGAGATGCCAGCAAATTACAAACGAAATTAGGTAATACAGCACGAAACTTTTCCACTTCGCGGGCACCAACTCCCAAGGCGATGGCTAAGATGGAAGAAAAGTTTCCTGCAGTTATCTTAAGCTCTAAATATTAGAGCAGAAGAGGCTAGTCTGAACCTACGGAGTGCCTGAATGTCATTTTAATCGACTATGAAGCAAAGTAGGAAGAGGAAAGTATAATCAAGTAAAATGAGGCTACCTGGATATAGGACACATTTCCTGTGACTGTGGGGAAGTTCAATCCATGCAGCAGTCACGTACCTGCAGTGTATGCCCCACCCCATGGACGAAAGAAGAAGACCTAGCAAATGGCTGGGAGAACGCTATTAAAGTATCCCATTTCTGGTCAAAAACAGCCTGATCGTGCTAACATTTTAATTTGTTCTTCAGTTTTGTCTATATTTATAAACGCCCATCATGTTAAATTGTGTTGACGCTCTGGAACAATTAAAGAAATGTTCTTTCGGTGGGCTGGGAATGGGTATTTCCAACGACTCACCGATGGGAGGTCATTATTTTTATAAATATTTGGAGGAAGGGGGGGGGCGGAGATGAGATGAAACCGAGCCAGAACCACAGGGGGAAAATAACACCCACTTT